CGGGCCCCCGCGGCCGGGGCCGGCCGATCCCGCAGCCGGGCCTCGTGGGCGCCTGGCGTCTGTTCGTCCTTTCCCGGCGGACCTGGCTCTGGAGGTGCCGCTGTTCCCCGGGCCGCGGGGAGCTCTGGAGAGAGAGACGGAGAAAGGGGACGTGAGGAATCCCAACCCGGAACCGCCGTGGCCGCACTGCAACCCCTCCGCTCCCCTCTGCCGATTTTGGATACACACGCACACTCCGGCTACCCTCGCTCCCTCTCTCCGCCTCTCCGCCTCTCCCTCTCTCCGTCTCTCCCTTTCTCCGTCTCTCCGTCTCTCCCTTTCTCCGTCTCTCCATCTCTCCGTCTCTCCCTTTCTCTGTCTCTCCATCTCTCCCTCTCTCCGGCAGTGACTTTCATGCTGCAGGTCTGAGACTCCAACCGTTCTGGGCCTTGTGGGAGTCCAGCACCGTAACCCACCATGCCCTCTGCTGGCCCCCCAGGCTAATTTTCCTGTGCTATGTTTCATGTCTAAGAGCACTTTCTAAAATACAGACCATGAGTTCAAGTTGTTTGGGTTGTGATGGCGTGCGCGCGCGCGCGCGCACACACACACACACACACACACACACACACACACAAGCATAAGATAATGGGCAGGCCTGCCCCCAGCGGTTGCTGGTCCCAGGAAAAGAGTAAAATGGAGGCCCCTGCAATCTATTTTAAGTGTTTAAAGATTTAAATCAAGCTTTCAAATTGTGAAGTATTCTATTTTCCGATTCCATAGATAGGCTTTGCTTTTTTAGTTTGCTGTATGGCCCATGCGCTGGCTGGAGAGGGGCACACAGAGAACGGAAAAATGGGAAAACACCGCCCCAAGAAAGAGGGCCACACTGCAGTCCCTTCTCCATTCTCTGGGGATTTGGGGCAAGCTCACAGGCACCTCGTGTGTCTTTCAGCCACTGGGTCCAGAACTCAAACCTCAAAGTCAGCTGTGTGGGATCCAGCTGCCTTGACCTCTGCCACCTGCTGGCCTTCCTTTCACCCACTCTTTAAAAAGATTTTTTTGTGTGTGGGAGGTTTCTAACTCATATAAAGCAAACAGAATAGTGTTAATGGTTGCAGTACTCTTCTTTCAAAGACTGTAAGGAAGGGGAATATTTCTTTTGGACCTGGAGGGTGTGTTAGGGTGAATGTGTTCATGCTTATAGGACTTGCTGAATACAGGATTCTGAGTGAATAGAGATGCCTATGATCTCTGTAATGAGATGGAGAGAAAGATTGAGAGAGGCCGGAAAAGACAATGATTAATGAAGAAATTACACTACCTAGTGCCCGTAACAGGAGTCCCTTTTGGCTTATCTTAAGGGTGGGAGTGGTTGAAAGGATTTGTGCGAATACTTGACAACAAAAGGAAATTAAATTTGAACCATTGTATTCTTAGTATGGCATAACATCTGCCAGAGACCATGTTTTACTACCTTCTCCCCTCACAAAAGAAAAAAAGAAGAAAATCCTTTCTCAGTCTCTCTTCATTTGGTCCATTTTATTCCCCATCCCTAGGCTTTCCCTCATCTGTGCAAATCATTCACATTGATATGTCCAATATATATGCCCTAAACTGACCTGTTCTTATAATACATCCATAACGGTATGTAGCCTTTTACTGTGTATAGTCTATTTTACAAATAGTATTTGTATTGTTTCCCAGACACAGGGATTTTGTCTCTATGTCTAATTATACAACTATGTATGTTTTTGGTTCTGTATTATGTTTGAGATGCACCATATCCCGAAATATAGCTCTTGTTCATTATATTCAGTTACTATAGTCAATTGCATAACTATGCCACATTTCATCTGTTTATTCATTCCCCACCACCATATTGGCATACCAGTGTTGTCTTTAAAAAGTTTTTCTTGGCTTCAGTTTCTGGTTTTTTTTCTTTTTTCTTTTGGTATAGAGAGGACATCTCTATTTCTCTGTTTATCCTTTTTTCTTTCTCTTCGTTTTTTCTTTCTCTTTTTTTTAATTGCCAGAGGATGTGTGAACTCATCAGAGACAGATGGAGAAACCGAAACAGAGAAAGGAAACACGCTCCTCAGTGGGTCACAGTCATACCGTAGTCCCTTCTTTATTTCTTCATCCTATTGAGATCTTGTGAACACATGCACACACATGTTGCAGGTGTTTTTCAGGCTGCCAGGACTGGAATTCAAACGCTGTCAGCTATGTGGTATCTGGCCCCCTTAACCACAAGGCTACAGGGCAGGACATCTTTTGCATGGAAATTTCATCTCCATGAAGGGCTCAGAATGAGGGCTCAGGTGAAGTAACTGCTGGGCACACTGAGGCCACATGGGAAGCCCGAGTTCAATTCCCAGACCACTGTGAAAGTTGGGCACAATGGCACACCTGTGGTCCCAGCTACTTAGGAGGCTGAGGCAGGAGGATTTCAGCCTAGTGAAACCCTGTCTAAAAAATAACTTAAAATAAATAAATAAAATTTAAGGTGATTTTGTACCTGCTGATTTCTTAAGTACCTTTAATTCCAAATAGTCATCTTACCAGAGGAGCATATTTTAGGGTGACATACTCTTAATTCTTTCAGTGTATTTAATATGTTTTACATTAATTGTAATTACTGATATTTAACTTTCAATCTACTACCTTTGTGCATTCTTTCTGTTTTTCTTGTTCTCTGCTCCCCGTCCCACTTTTTTTGATTGATTGCAATACCCTCTTTCATTTGTTTGGTACTTATATAGACTTTCCCTATCTATTTAGTGGTTACCTTAGAAAATGTTAAGTTTTTTTTAGTGGTTACCTTAGAAATGTTAAGGTACATTCTTATCTTTTTTTTTTTTTTTGGTAAGGTTTTTCCTGTGCTTAATACATGGCCAGCCAGGTGGCATGATGGTTAAGGTGCTTGGATCCCACATGATTGACTGAGCAGTTTGAGTCCCAAACTCTGCAGCTTGGAAAAAACATACTGGCTGCATGTGTGAGTGCCTAAAATTCTGAGAGAAGAAATTATGACATGCCATTTCCCCTGGGGAATGATTTCTCACTTTCTCTTTCTCTCTCTGGTGAGCACAGGAGCCCTAAAGCAAAACTGAAAAAAAAATGTATGTACTTAATATAAATGTAAGCTTTTGTTGTTCCTTACTCCTTCCTATTTCATGTTCTATTTAGGGTCATCTTCTTCTGACTGAGGATGTTGTAGTATTTCCTTTAGAGAGAGTCTGTTAGTAACAAATTCTCTAAGTTTGTTTTTCCTTTTTCTTTTTTTAATGTCAAAATACACTTTCCCTATATTTTGAGTATTTTTGCTAGCTATAGAATTCTGATTTTCAAAAGTATATTTTTCAAGTTTACTGTTTTTCTATGAGTGAGGGAGACAGAAAGAGGGAAGAAAGGAGAGAGAGCAGAAGACAGAGACAGTGAGATAACACCCCGACAGGGTCCTGTCCCCTGTCTCAGTCCGCCCCCAAAGATCGTAGATAGAAGCATGTCCAGTGTACTCAGAGAGGTTTCTGGATGTGAAACTGGCACCTCACCTCTGGGTCAGCCTTGCAGAGCGTTGAATTTTACCCTGTCTGGCCTCTGTTTTTGTTTTCTTTTGTTGTTGTTTACGTTAAAAAATAAATGTTTTACTGAGGTGGCTAAGAGGTAGATTTTCCTAGCTTCCTAGGTAGACTGTCACCAACATACCAGATTTTTAAAACATTTCCATAATGATTAAAATGAAACAGTGAAAAAAAGAAAACATTATCATTAGAAATTATTATAAATGAATAATACCTCAGGCAATTGATTGCTTTTAGAAAAACCTTTGGTACTTGTTCTGAAATGACAATCACAATACTTCCACATATTATACAAAATGAAAAGAGCATTCATCTAGGGGTTTTTTGTTTGTTTGTTTGGGTTTTTTTTTTTTTTTTAGTTTAGTTTATTTACTTACTTATGTGAGAGAGATTGATTTTTGACAGGATTTCACCATTTTGGGATCCTCCTATCCCAACTTCCCAACTATCTGGTATTACAGGTGTGCCCCTTTGTACCCAGCCTGTTTTAGGTTGGGCTGGGAATCAAACCCAAGACTCCCATGTGGCCACATCCAAGTAGCAATGTCTTAGCATGTATCACTGCAACTGAGTCAAAAATGGGCATACAAGGATTTGAGCATGACTATAGCAGTGATTTGCATTTTCTTCCCTATTGCCAAAAATAATGTTAATATCTTAGGGTTCATGGCAGGGAAGATAGCCTTTGTCTTTCCCCTTGTCAGAATCGTACTAGGTAGGATTATTCAGAGTAACTTCTGTTTTCATGAGCATAGAATCTCTTTTTATAAGCCCCAGGACACTTTCTGTTAAAAAGCCCTATTACAGGGACCAGCAGTTGGCGTAGTGGCTATGTCGCTGGACTCCCATGTTCGAATCCTGGACCCTGTGGCTTAAACTCACACCCGGTGCATGTGTGCCCAAGATCTCAAGAGGAGAATAGAGAAGGGATTGCAGCGTGGCCATTCCCCCTGGGGGGTGATTTCTCACTTTCTCTCTATCTCTCTCTCTGTCTTTGCAGTGAGCACATGTGCCCTATAGCAAAAGCCTCTCAAAAAAAAAAAAAAAGCCCTATTACAATGTATTTGTGATAGTCATTTGTATGTTATGTTCCTAAGGGACTCAAATCATGAGAAAGTGATGCCTTCCCCTTGATTTAATCATTCAATCACAAACTGGGGGTTGAACATCCTTCTAGACATATGAAATGTGCCTAGGTTCTTTTCTTCACTCCATTGCTTAAATATCTGTATGCTTTAATTGAGCCTGTTCTTTGTTAATATATTTGCATATTCTCCCCTTCTTGAAGATTTTATGAATAGCCTGAATTTCATTTAGATGTCAATCAAAGAGTGTTTTTCTTCCTGTTCCCAAAGGTGAACAAGGATATCAGGACTCTCTGGTGAGGGAGGTCCAGGCTCTTCACTAACTGGCTTAGTGATTTTTTTTGGCAGGACTTTTGACATTGATATAAGTAACCTGTAAAACATAAGGGCTTGAGCTATCCTGTGTCCTGGTGGTTAAGGCAGCTGGTACCTATATGGCCAACTGAGCAATTCAAGTCCCAGACCTGGTGGTTTGAGAAACATGCCTGGCACATGTATGTGTGTGACCAAAATCCTAAAAAGGAGAGATGGAGAAGGGATGCGGCATGACCATGCCCCATGGGGGATGCTTTCTCACTCTCCCTCTCCATCTCTGTCTGTCTCTCACCGACAACCACAAGTGTCCTCTGGCAAATTTTTTTAAAAACATGAAAAAAAAAATAATGAGGGCTTAAACAAATGATCTTCAAGTTTTCCTCCAGAAACTTTGACTAGATTCAAATGCATAATTTGATAAATGGGTATGAAAAATCCACTGAGGAGTTTAAAGAAACAGTACTTGTTGTCTTTGATATAAGCAACAAGGTTTATTTATTGTGTTAAGGTTTTTAAGCTTTAAACACATGGAACAGATTATAAAATGCAGAAAATATTTTATTTTAAATAGGTGTTTGTTTTGTCTTGCTGTTTTTAAACGAAAATGCCAATACGACCAGATCTCCAGGTATGTAGTCCCAAATTAAAAGGAAGTATTTTAATTCCTAAAATCACTTTTTGCTTACTTATAGATATTTAGTGCTGTATTTAGCCATGACAAAGCTTACATGTTCCTATGAAATAGTCAAGAATAATCTAAATAAAAATATTCTCTCATTTATTCAATAGTAAGCTTTCAAAAATTAAGAATATTTATAAAATATTAAAGATGCTAGTTAGATAGATAAACCTTTCATATTGAAAAGAAGTATGAGCTAATTAATGTATAAATTATGCCTGGGTATTTTTATATTGTATTTTAAAAATTGTAACATACTTGCACTTAGGTAAGAGTAAGTTCTAATAGATCTATTTAGCACATATGCTATTCACCACTAAGTCACTTCAGTGATCAAATTGTAGTATAAAAATTCTTTATTAATGAAGTTGTAATTTAATAGGTATAGCAGATTTTGAAAAGGTTATAAATACTATATGAAAGTAATATTTAAGTTAAATTGATTCATGTAGTTTCTAAAAGGTGGTTTTGCCTGTCTTTATGCATTTTTCCTTACTATTTAAACCCCATTCAGAATACTGGACTTTTAATCTGTGGTATTATTAGTTACTATAAAGTTGATTTTTATGTTTTTTATCAACAAGCTTTTGTTGAGTTTGATGTAATAATGCTAGCAATAAAAGTTAAATTAATTGGAAATATTAGTAAATTATTTTGCTACTTAAAGCCTTTTTAAAGAAACTAACTCTGTTACTCCAAATGTAATAATGATGTTGAGTTGAATTGACCCAAACTGGTCTCAGATTTTTTTATTTTACAATGATTAGCTTTTTTTTTTTTAATGTAAGTGAATTGATATTTTATGATCATGTTGGAGAGTTTTCATGTGAAAATAATTCTCAGATTGCTAGGTTGTGTAAGGTGATTGATTCTGGTTTTGATTCAATATATGTGCCATTAACTATTTCTCTAGCAGTTGGAAAAATGCATTGATGATGCTTTAAGAAAACATGATTTTAAACCTTTGAAAACCCTTTTACAAATTGATATTTGTGAAGATGTGAAGATTAAATGTAGCAAACAGTTTTTGCAGAAGTTGGATGACCTTTTATGCAGGGTAAATATTAATTTTTTGCTGAATGTTTTTTCAGATTATTAGAACTCTACTTTCAAGGAAGAAGTATTCAAAAATAGACTTGAGCAAGTGCACATACAGTTATATAAATAAATCCTTATTTCACCATTTGCCTTCTTTTTCTTTTTTTTATTTTGAGGAGTTTTCAACACATTGAACTGTTGCTCACCAAGTAAAATATACAAAAAACTGTGTTTACATTGAGTTACCATTATTAACTGTTATCTAAAGTGGGGAAAATTAATTAACCTATTTGAAGCTTAAACAACTTGACTATTTTTCAAAAACCTATGAGCATATTCTTGATATTATGTAGATAGTGCTTGATGCTTTCAGAAATAAAACAAGCAAACCAAAAATTTGATTTATTATATCTAAGGCATTTATGTATGTGAAAAAAGGTGATTATTGATAGACTCCTCCAGTATCTGAGATTTGTTATGAATCTAAAATATTATGGAAAAATATCTTGGACATATTAAATATACAAACTTTTTAGAATGAAAAGTACCTGAATCTCTGTAGTATAATACACATTTTTAAAACTTCATACAGATTTCATTTTTGTCCTGAATTTGTCATTCATCAGCTCACTGGCTTTGGGAAAGTTGCTTTGTTGAACAATATAGTTTTTTTTTTTTTTCTCTTTTTTTGGAGAGATTTTCACTGTAGGGCGCGTGCGCTCGCCAGACAGATAGAGAGAGACATAGAGACAGAAAGCGAGAAATCACCCCCCAGGGGGGATGGTCACACCGCAATCCCTTCTCCATTCTCCTCTCGGGATCCTGGGCACGCACGCACACGCGCCCGGCGTGAGTTTTAAGCCACCGGGTCCGGGACACGAACCGCAGTTGACTACGTGGGAGTCCAGCGACATAGCCATTATGCTAACTGCTGGTTCCCTTGAACAATATAGTTTTCATCATTTGCAGTATGGAGATGATAATGGGTACCTTTCCGGGTTTGTAAGGATTAGAATATATGTATAAAGTCACTTTTATAATGCCTACCATACTACTTTGTGTTTGCAAAAGTTTAAATGTGTACTTTCCATTTTAGGAACTTAATAAAAAGGATATAAAAAATGTTTCAGTCATTTTGGTTTCTATTGGAAGATGTGCCAAAAATATCAATATATTGGGGCAAGCTGGACTTCTAACTATGATAAAACAAGGACTAGTCCAAAAGATAAGTAAGAGAATATGTGAGATACATATGATAAAAGATATGCTTTCTAGTAAAATAAGAAATGGTACAAACTGTTGAAAAACAAATTTGGCCAGTATAAAACTTGTAGAATAAGGTAATTATTTTTGTAATATATGTTATTACATATGTAATTTTGTGATATATGTTACAAAGATAAAGTAATTATTTTTATGACTTGTGTTACATGTTACAAAGATAAAGGTCACAAGGAAACATTGTACACAGACTCCTTGATAAATACTTGAATTGAAAAATCACCCGGCTCCCTAAGGCCTTTACATACTTCATTTTCTCTCTCCTTCTTTTTAGGTCTGCCATAGGGCTCATGTGTTCACTGGAGAGACAGAGAGAAACAGTGAGAGGGAAAGTGAAAAATCACACCCCAGAGAGGATGGCCGCTCCACAATTCCTTCTCCTCTATTATCCTGGGATTTGGGGCACACATGCATGCACACATGCATACACACCCAGTATGAGTTTCAAGCCACCAGATCTGGGACTTGAACTGCAGTCCACCATGTGGGAGTCCAGTGCCATCCGCTGGCCCTTCTTAATCAGTATCTAACTTTATTTTTTTTTAAGTTTATTTATGCCATAAGTCAAAGAGACAGAGATACAGCACTCCTTATAGGGTCTGCACACCATAATCCACCCTCAACCTCAGCTAGTCAGGATCATAGATATGTTCCTACCCTCATACTGAGAATAAAATCTTAAGAGCAAACCAGCAACTTTTTCATGTGTATCTGCCCTACACAGCATTGCCTTTTACTGATGTGCCACAGTCCAGCCCCTATTTTTTTTCCAAAAGATTTTTGCTTTTTGTTTTTAATTTATTGTAGAGTATGTGTGCATGCATGAGAGAGGAAGAAGCACACTTGAGAGGGCATTGTTAGGTCCCTCTTTCCCCAACTCTCCAGCTCATCAGGATCTGGGACACACGTTTGCCATGTTTACTGGCTTACCTGGGGATCCAAACTGCTACTGGCTATGTGGCTTTCAGTTTGCTACCAGCTGAGCCAGCAGGCTGGATCATAACTAACTTTATTTTTGTTTTATATTATTTATTATCTGTTTCTCATGCTAAAATGTATTGATTTTTTTTAAAATCTGTTTTGTTCACTCCTGAACAGACAACATCTAAAACAGCACCCGAGAGGTGGTATTTACTCAAATATTTGAATTAATTACTTACAGTAAAATAATCCTGAAGCTTTTCAAATAGTAATGAAACTGAAATTATCTGAATTGTGGTGACAATTTATTTTTATCTGTTACAATTAATATACCTGAATGAGGAATTTGAAGGGGGAATAAGAGTATTCTGATTGAAAATAAGATTAATTTCATCTATTTCTATCCCATCTTAAAGAGTGGGAAACTATGGTTGCAAAAAAAAAAAAGAAAGAAAGATGTTTAATAGCATAAATTTATTTTGATACAATACTAATAGGTCTTTATTTCTAGGTTTACAGTTTATATAAAAATAAATACATTTTCTGTTATTCAAGTAGAATTAGAAATAATATGTACATTCTTTTTTTTTTATTTACATGGTTTCCTGGTTTGAAAAATCTAAGGAGATTGTTCTAATTCAAGGAAATTCAAAAGATGAAGCTGTTATAAATATGGTAGAAGACTTATTTGATCTTTTGATGGTAAAATTACATTGATTAACTATGCTCTATTTTATTTTATTTTATGTTTGGAGAGGTTTTCGCTATAGGGTGCGAGTGTTCACCAGAAAGACAGAGAGAGACAGAGAGACAGAAAGTGAGAAATCAACCCCCAGGGGGATGACGATGCTGCAATCCCTTCTCCTCTATTCTCCTCTTGGGATCTTGGGCACGCACGCACACACGCCTGGCATGAGTTTAAGCCACTGGGTCCAGGACTCAAACCGTGGTTGACTACATGGGATTCCAGCAATATAGCCATTACACCATTTGCTGGTCCCAATTAACTATGTTATAAAGCATGTGTTTATTTAAATATCAATTTGTATTCTCCATGCCTTGAGTCTAAAAATCATTGACAGATTGATTAGTGACCTGGCTGGATTAGTCTATTCAGATTGTATCAAGTATTTATCTTGCTTAATACGATTAAATAGTTATTAAATAAAAATGAACTAATTGTGCTAGATGTCAATTGTAATCCATCATTATAATACTGTTTGTAATAATTTATATTAAAAGATTGTAAATAGTAAATTCAATGTTATTCTTTTTTTTTTAGGTCATACATGGTAGAAGACTTATTTGATCTTTTGATGGTCATATATGACGTTGATGATGAAGGTATAGCCAGCATATTCTGTTGGCACATTAATCTGCTATTAGAGGTCTAGTGTAATTTTGCAATTTCCATACTAATACACAAATATTTTGAACTCACTGTGTAATTCAGGGATCAACAAACTTTTTCTGTAAAGTACCAGATAATATTTTAGAGGAAAAAAATCTAGAATGTTATAAAGGCACTTATATAACAAGAAAGAAAGCAAATTTCTACAGATGTTTTACTGGTGCAATTAAAAATAAAATAACAGTATGATTTTTTTGTAATATAAGTCTGCTAAAGAATAACATTCCTTTTCGAGGGATAATATTTTGCTTAGGGTTCAAAGTTAGTGCTCCCTGTCTTCAAAATTGATTATAAATGTTCCTTTGTTAATGTTCATCTGTTATGAGATTTTATGTATGTTGCATTGTAAAATAATACCACATACTGATATCAGTTCACACTCTGCCATTGCTAAGCCATGGGTTTAGTGTGGTAGGGCAAGTCAGGATACACACCTGCTATTTCTGACAAGGATTCACATACTGACACTAAGTTCCCCAGAGTAAATGAAGTTCACTTTGTAACTATGGTGCAGTACAACATAGATTCAGGTATTTTCCACAGAGCACCCGCTGATGAATAATGCAGCCATATTAAAGCAGGCAGTTAGATTTGGTTCATGGGCCATCATTTACCAACCCTTGATCAAATGGAACATAATTTTCAATAGTAATCTTATTGTGCAGAACATGTCACAACTCATCTTTTTAGTTGTAGCTAGCCGGTGTCTTGTGCCAAGGAATCAGAATAAAGTTATTTTATCTTTTTATTGGTTTAGAAAGACTTAACTAGGGTTGGTAATTGAGGCTGGTGAATTATTTATAAATAAAGCTATTTACTGCCTTCAAAGCCAAGTGTTTTAAATAAATTTTTGTTGATTTAAACAATAGTTAATTCTGTCTTTTCACTTTTTTTATAATTAGCATAGCAATCTAGTTTAAATTTGGTTTTGGGGGAGAGAACAGCCCTGAATCCTCAGTAATTATAAAATGATCCAACTGATTTTCTTTAAGAATTATTTAATTTAGGGATCAGCAGTTAGCATAATGGCTATGTCGCTGGACTCCCATATAGTCGACCGCGGTTCGCATCCTGGACACCGTGGCTTAAAACTCATGCCGGGCGCGTGTGCGTGCCTGCCCAAGATCCCAAGAGGAGAATGGAGGAGAAGGGATTGCGGTGTGGCCATCCCCCATGGAGGGGTGATTTCTCTCCATCTGCCTCTCTGTCTCTGTCTGGCGAGTGCACGCGCCTTATAGCAAAAACCTCCCCCAAAAAAGAATTGTTTAATTTAGTTTACTTATTTATTTATTCGTTTATTTTAATTTGACCAGAAAGGGAAGGAGAGAGTGAGAGAAAGCAAGCTGCCAGACCTGAGACTTGAATCGCATTCAGCCATGTGGGAGTCCAGTGCCCTTAACCACCACACCATCTGCCAGCCCTAGAAATGATTTTTAAAAGTAAATTATTACATCTTTCTATCTGAGTATCTTTTTCTCTTTTAGTGTAGTCACTTTGGAAAATTATACATTTACTATTGTAGTACTTCCATTTTTAAAATTATTTTTTAAATTCGTGTTATGAAATTGCATATAACAAATTTTCCTGAGTATGTTTAGTATTGATAAAGCCTCATAACTTGAAATTGGGTTAATTTAAAAGTAGTTCAAATCATTAGAGCTTCATAAAATCAAGGTATACAGATAATCTTTATGGGTATAAAGATTTCTGAGAGATGATTAAACCTTAATGAAGCCAGTTTCCATAAAAGCCTCAAAATAAGGAGCTTCTACTTTGAACTATTAAAAAAAATTACAAAGTAATATTTTCTTACATGCCTAAAATGACAAATTGGTTCTGGTTTATTCTCTTTTTGGCATTAAGATCAGTTACAACTTTTCAGGATGTTTTTCTCAAAGCAATGTAGCTAGTCAGTGGCAGAACCATGACTTAATATTATACTTCTTGACACCTAGACAGTGGGCCACCTTCTGAACTGCTCTAGTACTCCTTTCCAGTAAGTCATACAAAAAAAAAGACCATCATTTACAAAGACTTGAAATAAACAATTATCAATAATTTTGACACATTTGTTCAGGTAAAAGGCAAGTAGTGGAAAGTTTCATACCTCGAATTTGTGCCCTGGTTGTTGACTCAAGAGTGAATATTTATATTCAGCAGG